AACCATCTCCTTCACCTTTTTAAATCTCATCAAAGCGCAATTATATCAACACCATGAAGAATCTCTCGTTATTAATTCCCGATCGTTCGGCGATTATTCGCCAACGATATTCAGGAACAATTCTTTTACAATTACAATAATAGCCTCGGTATAATAGGGTACTTCAGAAATCATCATTAAAACGTTCTCTTATCTATACAATTATCAAAGATTAATTTCAAATCCTGATATTCTGATGTTCGTTCATATCATTTATCAAAAATTAAATGACAATATCAGTAATCAGAATCTATCATTGAACAAACAGAATCCTTGTTATATCCTAAGTACGTCATCGATCATTATTTTATATATTTTGTTACATTTTTCTCTTTTTTTTTTCTGTTTTCTTTTTTGTTTTGTTTTGTTCTCTCCCTCTCTCTCTCTCTCTCTCTCTCTCTCTCTCTCTCTCTCTATCTCTATCTCTTTCATAACTATCAATATCCCTTTCGACATAGACATATGGTTCCTTGTTAAAAATCACTGCCGTAACATTTTTTTTAGTTTTCTAATACACATTCATTCGTTGTCCAACGATCCAAAATGTCGTCGTGTTAATTTCATGGACGCAACACAACGATCGTACGTTCGGAGGTAGGTCTTTTCTTTTTCTTTTCTTTTCTTTTCCTTTTTTATTTTTTTTTTTCATCAAATGTTGGTTTCTCTTTCTTTTTATTTATTTATTATTCATTGTTCTTTTTCTTTTTTCCTTTTTTATTTATTATATTTTGTTTTATCTTTTTTTTTCTTTTTTCTTTTTTCTTTTTTCTTTTCCTTTTTTTTTTTTTTTTTTTTTAACGGGAAGACGGAAAGGATATAACATATCCTTGTGATAATAAAACGTCGAAGAAAATTCCCCGATTATTATTATTTGTCAATGAATTTGCGAAGCTCTGGAAAATATTTTCGTACGATCGATGATAGATATCGTTCGCGTTACTCCTTGAATTAATTATTTTCTTCGTTTTACAGTTATTCTTCACAGAGATTCCTTGGCTGATTATTATTTTGTACTGTTAATCTCGTATTTCCATTTTTCTATTACGTTCCATTTCAATCGAGTCGATTATTGTCTAGCTCGACGATCTCATATAATATATAATATATATATATATATATTTATATAAACATATGTATACCTCCTATCTCTTTCTCAAATTCTATCAAATTTCCAATCTCTTGCTCCAACTCCTCAGTTTATACAGAAATTAATTTCTTCTTTTCACGTGGAAGTGTAAAAAACGATATTCTACGAATTTTATTACGTTCAGATCTGGAAGATTTCATCGATTCGGAAAATAAGTGCTTTTGCATTATATCTATTATAGAAAAAAAAGCTTCGTTATATATGTGTACGTGTGTGTGTATATATACACATATACATACATAGTTAACGCATTTCCATTCTTGTTTTTTTTTCTCAATCTCTCTATCTCTCATTCTCTCATTCTCTCTTTCTCTCTCTCTCTCTCTCGCTCGCTCTCTCTCTATCTCCCTATTTCATTATCGATCTATGCCGGAGGTATTTGTGTTTGTTTTTTTTCATTCGTCCCAAGAAAACTATGAATTATCAAAAAGTGTCCCGAGAAAGGCAGCGCCTCCATTTAAACGGCGCTACGATAGATGCGCTACAAAAGCTGTGCTATAACAGGATGCAGAAGACACATATGCTCGGCACCACGTATCGGAAGTCGATTCACGCTGAAATGACGAACCATTTCTGGTATACTTTCAAAGGGTTTGCTAAACTGTCCTAATATATATGCGTTTAGCTCCTCGTTCTTCTGTATACGCATGTGCATGAAACCTTTGGCACTCCTGTTCAAACAAACAAACAAATAAAAATTATATAAATAAATAAAATACTTTTATATTAAATATTTATTTTATATTAAATATTATTATACATATATATATATATATATTGCATTTTTTTATTAATAAATTTTATATTATTTCCCATTCCGAAACGTTGATCGTCATTATCTAAAAACGATAATCACATTAAAATGGCCAATAATAAAAATATAAAGTTAATTAATATTATAGTATTTGTTCACTTAAAGGAATTTCATTTCGTATCTATTATCAAACTTACTTAAGAGACAACGAGTAATCTTGTTTGGTCGATTCACTGTTCCTCACCAAGTAACTTCCTTCACGAAGAAGTCGGAGAACAGCTTCGGCTTCGATTCTCGTGATAGAACCGTGATACCATCTAAAAAATGAAAAAGGACATTTATTTTTATATTTTATATTTATTTTTATATTTATAATTTATCTAACAATTTCTTGTTTTCCTATATTATTTATTAACTCGTTCGTATCGCGAGATGAGAAGAAAAATTTTTTTTTTAATTTATCCGAAACCAAATAATCGGCAATTCATTTTCTTTACATTACATATTACATATTATTTATATATTAATACATTAAAAGAATTAATACATTAACAATTAATTAATAAATAAATAAATTAATAAAAATTCTACAAGTAACAGATTATATGTATAAATTAATTTTCATAAAATAATTTATTATACATTATTAATATATAATTCATTAATATATTGAATTAATAATGCGTTAAAATAATTGAATACGTAAAAAATAAAGAAGAAATGAAAAATAAATAAAAAATTTTTAATGATGAGAAAAACTAACCCTTGTCTCTCCAAAGGTAAATCGACATCAACTAGATCAGCTGATCCTCTTGCAATATTCATTTCTAAAGGTAATCCAAGGCTAAGTCCACCAGGCTTCTTTAACGCCAGTTGTCCGACGTTCGTTCCACCCCCGGAAGCATTTCCACCAGCTTCCAGATTCAGAGTCATCTTTGGACGCGCCAGACCGCCGCCTGAAATGAGTCACGCGACAGTTAGACGCCGGTAAACTCGCCGAGCAGTAAACACCGGATCGCATCTCTTTATAGATTTTATCCAGTATATATATACATATAATACATACACACACATACACAAACATATATATATATATATATATATATATATATGTATGACAAGACGATTCTCTTTCTTAACTAAATCTTAAAAGTTGCAATCAGAACAAAGATTTGTGACTCTCAAATATAATCTATCTGATACATACTATCGTACTTTAATTCTTGGAATTTTTGATCTTTTGACAGATCATTTTTGTTTTTTTTTGTTTTTTTTCTTTTCTTTTTTTTTTTGTTTCTTTTTCTTTATACACGTTCTTCTTCCAATCCAATATTTATCGTTATAATTAAAGATTTATCCTATGATAAAAGATATTCCTGAGGAATTAGATGATAGCTCGATGAGCTTTAATATTAGATCTGTCATGATTGTCAAATGAAAAAGAGAGAAAAAGAATGTTTGATCTATGCATTTATAAAAATTTTAAAGGATTCCTTTAATAAATGTCTTTTTCTCAATCCAAGAGTTCACATTTTTAATCAAAATCATGAAAGATTGTTTGAGGATCAGAGAAAGTGGAAGAATATTCTATACATTGTACAGACACACATATATATACATATATATACACATATATACACACACACACACATATATATAGAGAGAGAGAGAAAGAGAAAAAGAGAGAGAGAGAGATATAGCACGAAATTGAATTTAATAAAACAGAACAAGCTCAATCACAGTGAGTGCAGACCCGTCTGACTTCGTTAATGTTTAATCATGGTGAAAATGATAGTGCGTGAGGTGAAATAAGGAATAGGTGAGGGATGTTAGAAGATGGTAGAGACTTTGTTCAACTATTTTACTCCAGGAGTCTAAGATAAATGTATATGTTGGTACAAGAGCAAAGACCGACTATCTTTCTACTGTGTATAAGGAGAATGAGATGAGAAAGAGTGATATATAGGGTCGGGACACATTAACCTCAAGTAAGAAACTAACTCGGTGTTACACCTGTCAGAGCAATTTCCTTTTACCTGGCTCATGCTACAGCCAAGAATTCAACCGTTAAGAGATTGCGCCGAACAAATGAGATTATTGCCTCGCGGAACAAACCTCTTAAAACTTTTTCTTTTAACCGCAACTTAAAATCAACTTTTTCCTTCTTTTATTTTTCTTTTTTTTCCCCTTAGTTCCGGATAACAGGTAACACGTATTTACGCGTACGTACAAATGATCACGATTTAATTTTTACTCCAATATTTCACGCGATCACATTTTTTCCCACCTCTTTCTCTTGTCTCTTAACACGTTATTGCGTAAGTACGCTGTATAAGTACTAAAAGGGATTATCGCATTATCAATGACGCATTACGACGTGTTGCATATCTTCAGGCAGTAAATTCTATCTATTGTATATATGCAAAATCGTATCGTTTAAATTCGATTGTTAAAAATAACGATTGAACTTCCCGTTAAATCGTAGTATACACTTGAAAATTTTCTCTCATTTCTTTTCTCCGTAATAAGTACTTAAATTTTCGTAGATCGAGCAGACGTATTGTTTTTGAAGCAACAATGCACGTAATTTCTGGAGGAATCTTAAGAGAAAATTCTAACGTAAAAAAGTTCTAAGAACGATGGAAAGACAGAGGAAGAGAAAGAGTAAAGGAAGGGAAAGAGAGAAAGAGAAAGAAAGAGAGTTGTGAGAACTTCTTTAAGAGGGAGGAAAATCGAAATAAGAAATCTTGAGAGCATTGTCTTTTCATCAGTACGACGGTACTCGGTCTTACTTGTCCTCGACATACAATCAGAACCCTTATAGTTAGTTTCTTTTACTTTATCATACTTTTTTTGCGATCAACTGACTTATCAATCCTTTTTAAATGGAAAATAAAAAAAGTTATAAAATAATTCTAATATCAAATAAAATGGATGCAAGTGGAAATAAATTAATCGTTCGGAAATAGTAAAAAAATTTGGGCCCTTATTTTTTATTCTGTAAAAATTAAGAGTCCAAAAAGAGAGAGTAAAAAAGAAGAAGAAGAAGAAGAAGAAGAAGAAGAAGAAGAAGAATAAAGAAAAATATTTTTCTCGCGAAAATCGTAAAAATTCTTCGGGTTTATTTCTCTTTGACATTAATTGTACCAATGTAGAATTAAAGTAAGTATCTCCTACTGCACGTACGAAAGTACTTATTAAAAAAAACGATAAAAAAGACGACTATAATCTTTTCTCCATTGCTCCATTGCTCCATTGCAACCCTTAACGAAAATCAACGTTATATTCTTTCACTCTACACGTTTTTCCCGAGGTAAAAGACATCCTAAGAGAGCTCCTTATTTTCTTCTTTCCGTCGTGGACTGTTTTAATATCCGCCTATGTCAGAGATACGTCTCAATCAATTGCTTTCATTTGCTTTTCTCTCTTTCTCTTTCTCTCTCTCTCTCTCTCTCTCTCTCTTTCTCTCTTTTCTTTTTTCTTTTTTTATTTCTTTGACCTCCCAAAGGAAATGAAAAATCGTGCAGGTATTAAAACAAAAAAAAAAGAGCATATTATGCTAAAGTATTTCATTTACGTAAATATATGAATGAGAGTATATATGAATGTATGTACGTATGTTTGTATGAGTATACATATATAGATATATACTCAATTTATTTCTCTCTATCTTTCTCTCTCTCTCTCTCTCTCTCTCTCTCTATTTCTTTGAGAGATCACAAGATCACAAGAAGCGATACGTCTTACGATCGTTTCCTTTAAAAGTTTCGTACCAAAGCTAACAAAAAAAGAAAAAGAAAAGAGAGAAAGAGAGAGAGAGAGAATGTCTTCTTTTATAAATTCTAAAAAAGAAAGTTCCTTTTTAACCCGCTTTGTACTCACGACCGTTTTTCTTTCTCAGTCTCTCGACCCTTTTCCAAAGAACCAAAAGACGAAGCCTTTTAAATAACAAATCAAGATTGTACGCACAATTTACGAAAGACCCTTTGATCTTTTTTTTTTTTTTTTTACGAGTCACATCGTACGAGCACATCATTTTTCTTCGGTTAGTACTTTATGATCGACGAAATAAATCTGTTGAAAATGTAAAACGAAGAGAGAGAAGTGGTAAGATCGTAAAAATACGTGTTCGTTTACGAATACGACATATATTTCTGTAATATTGAACGTCGATTTAACGATAAATGATGAAAAACAAAAAAAAAGAGAGAGAGAGAGAGAGAGAGAGAAGAAAAGAGAGAGAAAAAATGCCTAGTAAGGGCTGATATTAAAATTTTCACAAAGACTATGAAACTTCATTCCAACGTTATCACTAGTAGCAGAGAGCCTGTTAAAATAGAAAAGTGCCATGTCTGAGTAAACGCGAAGGAAGGAAGAAAGAAGAAAAAAAAAAAAAAAAAAAGAAAACCCGCACATTCTTTTACGCAACAGAAGGTAAATTTCGTCTGACGGATATTCGATGCCAACGGAGACGCCTTAGGACAGTGAAAAAAGATAGGATAGAAGGGATAGGGCCTTCCATGGCAAAAAGTATTTTTTGCGAGTTTGATAAAGAAAGAGAAAGAGAAAGTAAAAGAGATAGAGATATGGGGAGAAAGAGATAGAGAGAGATGGAGAGAGAGAGAGAGAGAGAGAAAGAGAGAGAGAGAGAAAGAGAGAGAGAGAGAGAGAAAGAGGGAGGGATAAAAAGAGAAAAGTCTCGGGGGAAATTCAACGTCACGAAGGACACGCGGGAAATCTCACGGGCATTCGTGTCGCTCTGTTTCCATGTCCTGACGACGACGACGACGACGACGACGACGACGACGACGACGACGACGACGACGACGACGACGACGAGAAGGAACAAAAGTAAGGGAGGCAAAGAAGAAGAAGAAGAAGAGGAAGAAGGAAGGGAAAAAAAAGAAAAAAAACAAAAAAAACAAAAGTAGGAAAAAAGAAGGAAACCATAAAAGTAAAAGTAGATGGAGGAATCTGCATTGGAAAAAGAAGAACTTTTAATTTCCCGTGAAAATCAGGACGTATGGCTGCACGATTCGTTTCGTCGAGAAGTTCGCCTACACGAGAAAGTCAAACAACCGCTTAGAGATTCGTATTTATTGCTGTCTCGAAAGAGAAGGAAGGAAAAGGAACGAACGAGCGAACGAGCGAACGAGAGAGAGAGAGAGAGAGAGAGAGAGAGAGAGAGAAGAGGGATAAAATTTATGGCTAGGTAGGATTTAGTACTTCGGGAAGTACTCCATCGAAAGGAGTAATAAACGTTTGATCCCTTAAATCGTACAATTTATCTTTACAAATACAAAATAAACTGATGCTTTCTTTAATTACTTCTTATTGATAATTTTTCTTGATTTAAGAGAGAAAGAGAGAGAAAGAGAGAGGACACATTCGAATGTATCTTATTTTTAAATATGATTACACATATAAGAGATTAGTCTAGAGTATAATTTTACTTACGTGTATCTAATTGTTAATATTACAATACAATGTGAATAAGAACATTCAGATGTAATCGTTGAAAGCTTAATGAAATAATTAGCGTTCGTCGTTTCAATGATTCGTTTTAATTGTTAAAACTCTATGAGAATAATTATCAATTGAAGCATAACGATTCTCTACTGTTACTCTTTCTCTCTCTCTCTTTCTCTCTTTCTCTCTCTCTCTCTCTCTCTGTCTCTCTGTCTCTCTGTCTCTCTTTCTCTCTTTCTAAAAATCTTTCTTAAGGTACAATAGTTAGACTGTAGTATACTGGATCCAGCATCCGTTTCTTGAAGCCTCGATCTGTAGGTTTCTTGTGTTTCAAGAGAAAAGAAAGAGAGAGAAAGAGAGAGAGAGAGAGAGAGAAAGAGAGAGAAAGAGAGAGAGAGAGAGAAAGGGGGGAGGAAAGGAAGTGAGAAAAGCAAGGGAGTGTTTAAAACGAGGCACAGTAACGATGGAGATTGTGAAGTTTGCAATC